GACTGTCCTACATTCAAGAGAGAAGCTCAAGGAAACGAAAGGTAATGAATCATTAGATTAATTTAATCTACTTCTGAATTCAATGGCTTCTATCTCATTTGGATAGTGCAATTTGATAGATAGGGACCTGCCATCATTCACTAAGAAAAAGACACATTTATTTACTGGTCATCCATGTGAGGGAAAGCAAGTGGATGAAGATGACAGTCAAATTTCTTGGCTCAGTGGGCTCCTGTCAGAGCCAATTCCTCTGAGTGTCTGTAAAGCACCTTTTAGACAGCACCACAGCTCAGTGGTCAAACGCGGATTTTATCAGACCTTCGCCCATCCCCATTCTGTGGCTTCTTATTAAAATGATAAACAAAAGCAATGATCTCGAAAAAGCTATGATTTTGTTCAAAATATAAGTTACTCTTATCTTCATTATATTATTTTTCCGAACACCAACTGTAATTTACATTTAACAATTCAATACAGTTATGAGAGGACTTGAGAAAAAAATTCATGGAAAAATGGAGTCAAAATGTGAATTTTTCTTGATGCAAAAAAATAAAAATAAAATGGAACTCCATGTACACTTTTTTTCATGCTATCATTTTCCATGGCTTTTTGAAGACCCTTCATATATAAACATGTCATACATCTTGTCATACCCATGATATGTTCATACATAAATATGACAGGCATATACGTACATAAATTTTATGACGACTGTGACGGTATTTTTCAAAATTGAAGAGTATGTTTAATATGAGTTACATACTTGGTCACATGAACATGGAGCTAGCGCTAGTTATTCCAACCTTCAGGAGAGTTTGACCTAATCCTAATGAGCGATCTGAACTGTATTCTGTCTCTTACAGTTTTCTTCAGAAATTGGAAAAACACGGAGAGCCCTTGCCTGTATTTGAACACTCGCCGTCGTGCCCACTGGCTGCTGGGCTATGACTTCCTGAACTTGTACTCTACCTCACATCCCTACTGATTCTGCACAGAGAATTTTCTATTTGCTGAATTTGTGAACACATGGCTTTTCTTAAAACCAAAAATCAAAAACGGGGCCAGCAGATGAGTGGTGTTTCCCACACTGGATCCCACATAGCGACCCAACGGTTCAAGTCGCAGACCCAGCAGCTTAAAAAACACTCCAGGCATGTGTGCATGGGTGCCTAAAAGCCTGTGAAGAGAATGGAGGCGAAGGGATTGTGGTGCGGTCACCCCCTTCCCCATTGGCAGGTGATTTCTCACTTTCCCCTGTCTCTGTGTCTCTGTCTCTCTTTCTTTGGTGAGTATATACACCTTATGGCAAAAACCAAACCAAAACAAAACAAAACAAAAAACAAAAATAACCAAAAAAAACTCCACCAAAACCAAAAACTGTAATTCCTTACTATTTGAAATGCTGTTAGACAACGGCCTATCGGATCATCAGAAAAGTCATTACGGATTTTTTCATAGAAAATATGTCATGACATTGGGGTGACCAAATACATATTTCTTTTTTAACACGTGTATTCAGCAAGCAATGATTGAGTCCCTCCATGTTGTATGGGATCCAAAAATTCAAAAGGCACAGATAATAAAACAGAAGGTGAAAAGTGGTAGATATCT